TGGATGGATTGTCTTGGCAAGGAGAAATGCTCACTAACAGGGATGTAAACACATTTGTGCACAAAATATGAGCGAAATAAGCTTTTTGTGCGTATTTCTGGGATCTTTTATTTCAGTTCATGAAACATGGGACCAACACTTTACATGTTGCGTTTATATTTTTGTTCAGTGTATATGGAACAAGTTTTTTTGGTCATGCCAAACCTGATATAATGTTACAATTGTCCTCTTCCTGTACATATTTTATTAGCAAAATCAAGGAACCAAATAAGGTCCACAATGATTAAATCACATTTGTTTTATCTAATTTAAATACACATTTTAATGCATGATATTTGAATGACTTAGACAATAACGCTGGAGTAATTGGGTTACTTTTGTATTAATTACTTGATTAATTAAATGTATTTTTTTACATTGTCACCAAAATGTTATTAATTTTTAAATTCATTTGGTCATTTACTATCATGACACTTTTGATGAATGCCAATTAAACAAGTTGTTTTTCCATTAAATAAATAGTTCATATTCAATAGGCCTCTATATTTATTGCACTGAAAAAATTAGCCTATATTGGTTTAGGGAAAACAAACACAATACTGCAATTCAAAAACATATTTTTCACATGTATACCAGTGGAGGAAGCGTCAGTGACATCCCAGCTAGCACATCATGTTCTGAGAACCATATGTTTCATAGAGCTTGGTGAGAGCATGGTTGTCCTATGGTTAGTTTGCATACAACATTCCCACAATGTTCTTGGAATGGTGCAGGGTACCCATCTAGCACATAATGTTCTGAGAACTATATGTTTCTTAGGTGGAAATTTCACATAGAGAATGATAGAGGCCTGTGGTGGCCAAAAGGCCGTTTTAGCATGGGCTTCCACCAAGCCTCCACCATTTTAAAGTAGTCCGAATAGTCAACTAGGTGGGGATTCCTATGGGTTGTAGCTTCAATGGCACTGCCCATGCTGTCACAGACGCTATAATGGCACAGATATAAAGATGAGTCCTCTATCTATCTCTATGGAATTCCAGTACTTCAGCATAGCATTTCCTACAGGTTTCCTCATGGTTCTACTTAAAGTAAGTATCTCAAATTGTTCCAAGAATGTTAAGAAACAACGTTCGTCTGTGGGAATTTCAGTACTTCAGCATAACGATCTGAAAAGCATGATTTGTACCATGGAAACACAGGATATCAAAGGTCAAGCATTATTATTTCCCTCTGATGAAATGCAAATGTCACCATTTTGAAAAATAACTTCTGTGTTTTACATGATTGGAATAACATGCACAACACATGAGGAAAAACCACAAAAAAAAAAAATATCATTTTGTAATCTACATCCAGCTCACTAACTTATTCCTGTCTTGCAGGCACATTCTGGGGTTTCAAACAGTCATGTCCTTGAACTACATGTGATCCTACACTTGTATGAAATGGCACTAGGGTTTGTTGGATGAAAGCTCCAGCTGTATTGAGTAAAATGGGAAGGGACTTTCTGGCCACTTCACAGCCTGTTGAAATGCCCCTTGGGCCTGTGCTGAGAGAGACTTGACTTACCTTCCTCCTTTAAACTATTTACCCCTACATATAGACTCTGCTGCAGGACTCTGGGTGTGTGTATTTGTATGTGTGTGCGTGTGTGTGTGTGTGTGTGTGCATATGTAAGACTCAGAGTGGAACCAGAGGAAACACTACCAGAGTGAGTAAAACTAGAGCTGCTAAATAGGACATCCACTGAGAACCATGACAATGAATAGTAGTAATGGGGTTACATTCATATTGTCTAGCTGAGGTGAACTCAACTCATGTATCATCATAAAGTCAACCTCATTTGAGGGTTGTTCGTGACTGAGGGGTCAGATTATGGTCGTAGTGCAATGATGTGTATGATCAGGAGGATAGTAGAGAGGATAGCATACTGGCACACTTTTGTTAAAGTCAAAATACTTGACATGCTGGTTATGATGTGGAGGACCCAAAGAAAGGCTTTACTCAAAGCAGGAGACTGTTAGAAGCCCTGAGGACCTGGTAAGTCACACCCAGTCTGCTGTACTATGACGAGTTATACACTACCGGTCAAAAGTTTTAGAACACCTACTCATTCAAGGGTTTTTCTTTATTTTTACTATTTTCTACATTGTAGAATAATAGTGAAGACATCAAAACTGTGAAAAAACACATATGGAATCATGTAGTAACCAAAAAAGTGTTAAACAAATAAAAATATATTTTATATTTGAGATTCTTCAAATAGCCACCCTTTGCCTTGATGACAGCTTTGCACACTCTTGGCATTCTCTCAACCAGCTTCACCTGGAATGCTTTTCCAACAGTCTTGAAGGAGTTCCCACATATGCTGAGCACTTGTTGGCTGCTTTTCCTTCACTCTGCGGTCCGACTCATCCCAAACCATCTCAATTTGGTTGTGGAGGCCAGGTCATCTGATGCAGCACTCCATCACTCTCCTTCTTGGTCAAATAGCCCAAACCAGTGCTGGTTAAGTGTGCCTTGAATTCTAAATAAATCACATATAGTGTCACCAGCAAAGCACCCCCACACCATAACACCTCCTCCTCCATGCTTTACGGTGGGAAATACACATGCGGAGATCATCCGTTCACCCACAACGCGTCTCACAAAGACACGGCGGTTGGATCCAAAAATCTCAAATTTGGACTCATCAGACCAAAGGACACATTTCCACCGGTCTAATGTCCATTGCTCGTGTTTCTTGGACCAAGCAAGTCTCTTCTTCTTATTGGTGTCCTTTAGTAGTGGTTTCTTTGCAGCAATTCGACCATGAAGGCCTGATTCACACAGTCCCCTCTGAACAGTTGATGATGAGATGTGTCTGTTACTTGTACTTGAACTCTGTGAAGCATTTATTTGTGCTGCAATTTCTGAGGCTGGTAACTCTAATGAACTTATCCTCTGCAGCAGAGTACATTGTTACACATAATTTCATTTTTTCCTGTTATAGCTTTATCAATTTAATGAAGTGCACAAGTAATGAATGACACAAGTATTGGTCTTCACAACGTTTGCTGCTTCAGTGTTTTTAGATATTTTTGTCAGATGTTACTATGGTATACTGAAGTACAATTACAAGCATTCCATAAGTGTCAAAGGCTTTTATTGACAATTACATTAAGTTTATGCAAAGAGTCAATATTTGCAGTGTTGACCCTTCTTTTTCAAGACCTGGGCAATCAGCCCTGGCATGCTGTCAATTAACTTCTGGGCCACATCCTGACTGATGGCAGCCCATTATTGCATAATCAATGCTTGGAGTTTGTCAGAATTTGTGGGTTTTTGTTTGTCCACCTGCCTCTTGAGTATTGACCACAAATTCTCAATGGGATTAAGGTCTGGGGAGTTTCCTGGTCATGGACCCAAAATGTTGATGTTTTGTTCCCCGAGCCACTTAGTTATCACTTTTGCCTTATGGCAAGGTGCTCCATCATGCTGGAAAAGGCATTGTTCGTCACCAAACTGTTCTTGGATGGTTGGGAGAAGTTGCTCTCGGAGGATGTGTTGGTACCATTCTTTATTCATGGCTGTGTTCTTAGGCAAAATTGTGAGTGAGCCCACTCCCTTTGCCGAGAAGCAACCCCACACATGAATGGTCTCAGGATGCTTTACTGTTGGCATGACACAGGACTGATGGTAGCGCTCACTTTGTCTTCTCCGGACAAGCTTTTTTCCGGATGCCCCAAACAATCGGAAAGGGAATTCATCAGAGAAAATGACTTTACCCCAGTCCTCAGCAGTCCAATCCTTGCCTGTGAAGCCCTTTTTGTGCAAAGCAATGATGACGGCACGTGTTTCCTTGCAGGTAACCATGGTTAACAGAGGAAGAACAATGATTTCAAGCACCACCCTCATTTTAAAGCTTCCAGTCTGTTATTCTAACTCAGTCAGCATGACAGAGTGATCTCCAGCCTTGTCCTCGTCAACACTCTCACCTGTGTTAACGAGAGAATCACTGACATGATGTCAGCTGGTCCTTTTGTGGCATGACTGAAATGCAGTGGAAATGTTTTTTGGGGATTAAGTTCATTTTCATGGCAAAGAGGGACTTTGCAATTAATTGCAATTCATCTGATCACTCTTCATAACATTCTGGAGTATATGCAAATTGCCATCATAAAAACTGAGGCAGCAGACTTTGTGAAAATTAATATTTGTGTCATTCTCAAAACTTTTGACCACGACTGTATAGTGAATTAGGTTTGTTTATGTTCCAATAGGATCCAACAGTGTGAATTAGGTTTGTGTATGTTCTATTTAGGAGTTGGCTGGTTTAAGGACGTGTCTGTGTGAATTATGTTTCCCTTTGGACTGAGAGGAAGGAAGGGTGGATGGACAGCACCATTTATCTCTCATTAATAAACCTCAGTTACCATGGAGTGGAGCGTTGCTTTTATTTAATAAACAACAGTGACACTGCTTACGCATTTCCACTTTAGTCCTCAAGTGGTCTTACTGGCATGGGAACGAGGAGGTGACGAGGGTCAGTGGTGTTTCTGCCTGCGAGTGTCTATGATGATGCTGTCAGTTGATCTGTCAACACCACTAGTGTTGTGGTCAGTTGTTGCATTGTTCTCTGGTATTTATTGGTTCATGTTGTTGTGGCCAGCATAGCTGTGGTCCAGGGTGTTAGTGTGTGTTCCTTCACTAAGGAAATAATTCACACTAACCACCTGAACCAGAGCTATGGTCAGTAGTGTAACAGTGAGTGGTCATTGGTGTTATTGGCTAATATGGTGGGAGTGGTTAGCTATGTTAGAGTAGGGGCCATCGTGTTGTTATCACTTCGTTGTGGCTAGTAGTTTTGCGAAATTCAGCCTGTATGTATGAGTATTTTGCAAAGTTTATTCAGATTTCATGAGGAAATGATCAGTCACTGATTGTTATAAGCAAAGAGCAATGTATGGGAGCCAGCCTGGCCTGCAGCCTATAAGACATCTCTGTTCTCTCTCCCAGGTAAAGTGGAGAGGGAGCCTAAGGGGAAGTTCAGTGTTCCAATTCTGGATGTGAAGAGTCGACACCTAGTCCTGGAGGCCAACCAAACGCTGACGATCCACTGCAGGTGAGTCTCTCTGGAGTCAAAGGTTAGAGGTCAGAGGTGATAGGTGGAGGGGGTGGGTGGGTGGGTTGTAGGTCAGTGAAAGCCCTTGGTGGCTGTTCATATATAGTACTGACTGGGCCATGGGTGGCTGCTCATATATATAGTACTGACTGGGCCCTGGATGGCTGCTCATATATATAGTACTGACTGGGCCCTGGGTGGCTGCTCATATATAGTACTGACTCTGGGCCCTGGGTGGCTGCTCATACATAGTACTGACTCTGGGCCCTGGGTGCCTGCTCATACATATAGTACTGACTGGGCCCTGGGTGGCTGCTCATACATATAGTACTGACTCTGGGCCCTGGGTGGCTGCTCATACATATAGTACTGACTCTGGGCCCTGGGTGGCTGCTCATACATATAGTACTGACTCTGGGCCCTGGGTGGCTGCTCATACAGTACTGACTCTGGGCCCTGGGTGGCTGCTCATACATATAGTACTGACTCTGGGCCCTGGGTGGCTGCTCATACATATAGTACTGACTCTGGGCCCTGGGTGGCTGCTCATATATACAGTGCCTTCGGAAAGTATTCAGACCCCTTGACTTTTTCCACATTTTGTTATATTGCAGCCTTATTCTAAAATGGATTAAATAAATAAAAATCCTCAGCAATCTACACACAATACCCCATAATGACAAAGCGAACATTTTTGCACATTTATAAAACATAGTATTCAGACCCTTTGCTATGAGACTCCAAATTGAGCTCAGGTGCATCCTGTTTCAATTGATCATTCTTGAGATGTTTCCACAACTTGATTAGAGTCCACCTGTGGTAAATTCAATTGATTGGACATGATTTGGAAAGGCACACACCTGTCTATATAAGGTCCCACAGTTGACAGTGCATGTCAGAGCAAAAACCAAGCCATGAGGTCAAAGGAATTGTCCGTAGAGCTCCGAGACAGGATTGTGTCGAGGCACAGATCTGGGGAAGAGTACCAAAAAATGAGTGCATCATTGAAGGTCCCCAAGAACACAGTGGCCTCCATCATTCTTAAATGGAAGATGTTTGGAACCACCAAGACTCTTCCTAGAGCTGGCCGCCCGACCAAACTGAGCAATTGGGGGAGAAGGGCCTTGGTCAGGGAGGTGATCAAGAACCCGATGGTCACTCTTACAGAGCTCTAGAGTTCCTCTGTGGAGATGGGAGAACCTTCCAGAAGGACAACCATCCCTGCAGCACTCCACCAATCAGGCCTTTACGGTAGAGTGGCCAGACGGAAGCCACTCCTCAGCAAAAGGCACATGACAGCCCGCTTTGAGTTTGCCAAAAGGCACCCAAAGACCCTCAGACCATGAGAAACAAGATTCTCTGGTCTGATGAAACCAAGATTGAACTCTTTGGCCTGAATTCAGCCGGATGGTTTGTCTTTCCTTGCCCTTCCAGTAGTGTCTTGTCATTGGCTTCATATCTAGTGAGAGTTACTGTATAGTGTGTGTAGGGGAAGGGATGAGCGATGCCACATAAAGCTGGCAAGTTGTGGGACATTTTGAGATAAAGGAAAGATTGTCTGCCTAGACTTATTCACTGATCAGATTAGCTTTTATATAGATATTTTTATGGTCAGCTTTTCAGAAGTTGAGGTGCGATGAGAGAGATGGAATGTTTACAACAATTTACCTTTGACCAATCAGGGGTCGGTGGGAGCTGTCGTGGGTGTTCCCTGGAGGTGTGGCCAGAGATAAGGAGAGTGTGCAATTGGAGGATTCTCGCTGTGGGAGGCAGAGCCAGCATTACTGCAGCCAACTGATTCTTAGCTCCGCCCAGGCCCAGCACACAGGATCGTTCCGGTGTCGGTACAGCCATCGGACCCGCAGGCAGAGCGCTGTCTACGTCTATATCACAGGTAACATTTAACAGCTACCAACTCACTCCGGGATTCGCTCATTACAGTGTCCTGTACTCCCAAGTCCCTGTCAGAGCCACTCTATCACAAATGCTAGAGCTCAGGAAATGGAAATAAGGTTTAGGATATGAATCCTCTATATCTGTCTCCCTCTTTCTCACTGACTGATTCTCTCTGTTAAACTCTCTCTGTCTCGCTTTCTCTCCCTCTCTCTCTCTTTCTCAATCACACTTTCTCTCTCACCCTCTCTCTTTCTCTCTAACCCCCTCTCTCTCCCTCCTCCCCACTCTCTCCCTCTCTCTCTTCCTCATTGATGGAGTGGTCAATCAGTCTCTCTCTCTTTTTCTTCCCCCTCTCTCTCTCTCTCTCCTCTCTCTCTCCTCTCTCTCTCTCTCTCTCTCTCTCTCTCTCTCTCTCTCTCTCTCTCTCTCTCTCTCTCTCTCTCTCTCCCCCTCTCTGATGGAATGGTCAGTCAATGTCTTTCTCTCTCTCTCTCATTGTTTATATGCTCAGGTTAAACAGGATGTAGTGGCAGTGGGTGCTAAATACAAACCAATGCCAGAGAGACAATTATATCTACACATTGTTTGTACCAACAACACATCCTTCATAATGACTCTGGCACAGTTTCTCCCCCCTAGCATGTCTATTTTCTCAGCCTCCCTCCCTCTCTCCCTCTCCCAGGTCTATATATAAAAGCTTTTTACTTTCGTTTACGTGCTACCTTGGTATTCAGGGCCAGGAATAGCCCAGCTGCTGAAAGGCTCTGGTTTGGGCAGAGTTTCCCAGGGCACCAGGCTTATCTGCTCCCCTCAGCCCTGCTCACAGCATCCTGTGCTGGGGGACGGGAGGAGGGCCGCGGGGGGTTGGAGGTGGGAGGGGAGCTGGAGGTCTATAGACAGGGGAGGTAGGTGGGGGGGTAAGAGGGGTGAAAGAGGATGAAGGCCTGGCAGGATTCAGGGGCATCCAGGGGCAGAGGAGGCACCGTGACAGCCCTGTCTGCCCCACTCTGCCTTTCCCTGTTCTGAGTAGAAGCTGGCTGGGCATGGAGCTGGGCTGGGGGCCAGAGGAGATAGAGGCGCCAGAGGAGCCAGGGTCACAGGGTGGGGCTACTGTTTGGCCAATAGGACCGCTGGGGCCCATCAATCGCTCCGGCCGCCAAGTCCATTAGGCGTCCGACTCCATCGCCCGCTCTTCACTCACCCTCCTTCCCCTCCTGCCCCGCTCTGTTCTCACCCTCCTGCCCCTCCTTCCCCTCGTGCCCCACTCTGCTCTCACCCTCCTCCATCCTGCCCCACTCTGCTCTCACCCTCCTGCCCCTCCCCCTCCTTCCCCTCTGCCCTCTCACCCCTCCTTCCCCTCGTGCCCCCTCTGCTCTCACCCCTCTTCCCATCCTCCCCGCTCTGTCTCACCTCTGCCCTCCAACCCTCCTCCCGTTCTGCTCTCACCCTTCCCCTTGCCCCTGCTCTCACCCTCTATCCTCCCGCCCGCTCTGCTCTCTGCTCTCCCTCCTCCCTCCTCCCCTGCTCTGCCTCACCCTCTATCTCCTCTCTAGCCCGCGACGCCCTGTACCCTTCCTCCCACTAGTCCTTGGCCGTACTCGTTAAATCAATATGCTACCCTCGATGCCACACTCGCTCTCACCCTTCAATCCTGCCGCTTTCTCTCACCCTCCGCCCCCCACCCTTTCCATGTCACCGTGGACTCTACCCTCCTAGCCTACAGGCTTTTATTCCTCACACTGTGTCATTTATGTAATCCGAGCCGTTCTGCTGTATAGTGGTGTGGATTGTGGTGTGCGATTATATCGTTCAGCCCTGTGGTCCAGGCCACTAGTCCTTGGGGTACTTTTGTTAAAATGTTCAGAGATTATGCTTTCCTTGAATAACACAGTACAGTAGCTGACAAACAATGAGGTGAGCTCCACCCGCCCACGCCTTTCAATGTCACAGGGATATTAGACCTGGAAGGATCACAGGCTGTTTGATTACCTCTAAACAATCTGTGTGTGTTTATTGTTGAATCCAGGAGACTATTTGCTGAATGGGTATTAAGTATGGGTGTGGATGTGTGTGTGTGTGCGGGAGTGTATGAATGTTTATTGTTGATTGTTTTCTGCTGAATCGGTATACAATATGTGTCTGTGTGCTTGCATGCTTACGTGTGTCTGTCACGTGTGTGTGTGTGTGTGTGTCGGTGCACACGTGTGTCTTTGTGGGTCCTTGTGTGTCCGTGCGCGTCCGTGTGTGTGTATCTATCCCTAACCTCAGTGCTGTGGTTTCAGACAGACAGCAGCCATTTGTGGAGAAGCAAAATGACAGTCCAGATGTGGTGTATATGAAGGAGAGCCAGCCACTGGTGTTCCCCTGTAGGGTCACCAACCCTGACGCCACCGTCTCATTGGTCAAGGTGAGTTCCCTTTACTATTTCCAATACTAGCGCTCCTGACTACATCTGCATTGCTTGCTGTTTGGGGTTTTAGGCTGGGTTTCTGTACAGCACTTTGTGACATCTGCTGGTGTAAAAAGGGCTTTATAAATACATTTGATTGATTGATTGACAACACCTTAGAACAAAACACTTCTCTCTGTTTCTCCATCAGCACTCCCATCTTTACACAAGTCACAGTCATGTTGTTTCTGCTAGTACAGATCATTCAACACATTGTTCTTATCTTGGCAACCATTCCTGCCTTGGAGTGTGTGTGTCCGTTTGTTTGTGTCAGTCTGCGGATATGTGTGAAAGTGTGTGGATGTGTTTGTGAGTGTTGGTGCCTGAGTGGTGAGTGAGTGTACGTAAGTGCAATGAAGTGCAGTGTGTGCGTGCATGTGTGTGTATGTATGTTTGTGGAAACGTCTCAGTGTGTCAGTGATACCTATTTTTTACTGCCATGTTCCGAGTGAGCGGCGCCCGCGGTTTCCTCTGTTGTCCTGTTGGCACTGTTGTTACCCCCGGAGACAGGACGTGGGGTCTGGAGTGCCCCCTGCCTCCGCCAACCCTCCCCCACCCCCTCTACTCACACACCCCTCCTCTCCTGGGATGCGTCTACTAGGTAACGTCTTCTGTGGCAGAGATTGCACAGTTTGATCCATACAATGCAATAACATCTAGGTGAGGGGAATGGGCTACTGGCAGTTTATCAAGTGAATGAAGGAATTGTCTTTCCTTAAGAGGTTTCGATGGAATTTCCAAGGAGAGTTTCAGGAAACGGAAAAAGAACAAAATGAACCCCTGGCTCTCCCTTCAGGATGTGACGCGGACCCCGAAATGGAGCGCTGCATAACTCACACTTCACTTCTGTTGGCTCTCTGTGTTTACGCCCTGCTCCCATCTCCACACTTCTGTTGGCTCTCTGTGTTTACGCCCTGGTCCCATCTCCACACTTCTGTTGGCTCTCTGTGTTTACGCCCTGCTCCCATCTCCACATTTTTGTTGGCTCTCTGTGTTTACGCCCTGCTCCCATCTCCACACTACTGTTGGCTCTCTGTGTTTACGCCCTGCTCCCATCTCCACACTTCTGTTGGCTCTCTGTGTTTACGCCCTGCTCCCATCTCCACACTTCTGTTGGCTCTCTGTGTTTACGCCCTGCTCCCATCTCCACACTTCTGTTGGCTCTCTGTGTTTACGCCCTGCTCCCATCTCCACACTTCTGTTGGCTCTCTGTGTTTACGCCCTGCTCCCATCTCCCACTTGTGTCTCTGTTACGCCCTCCTCATCCCACAACTGTTGGCTCTCTGTTTACCCCTGCTCCACTTCCCATACTGTTGGCTCTCTGGTTTACGCCTGCTCCCTCTCCACACTTCTGTGGCTCTTGTGTTTAGCCCTGGCACATCTCCACACTCTGTGGTCCTGTTTTACGCCCTGCTCCCATCTCCACACTCGTTGGCTCTCTGTGTTTACGCCTGCTCCCCTCCACACTTCTGTTGGCTCTCTGTGTTTACGCCTGCTCCCATCTCCACACTTCTGTTGGCTCTCTGTGTTTACGCCCTGCTCCCATCTCCACACTTCTGTTGGCTCTCTGTGTTTACGCCCTGCTCCCATCTCCACACTTCTGTTGGCTCTCTGTGTTTACGCCCTGCTCCCATCTCCACACTTCTGTTGGCTCTCTGTGTTTACGCCCTGCTCCCATCTCCACACAAACGCCCATCCTAGAGCCACAAAGGTAATTATTCTAAAAATACCCCTGTTCTCTCACTCCATCCGCTCCTGCCTGGCCCAGCATTCAGAACCTGGACTCCACTCCACACACACTGTCACACACTCTGGAGTGTTTTTTTCCTGGAAGGATTTTGCACTCTGCCTGGATCTTTAATTTGTCGTCCCACCTCTCAGCAGGGATCAATACCCAGGGGGCCATTCTCTCTCGCTGCAGCCGTGAAAGTGACCCGGTGGGGCGAGGAGGGGAGGTGAGCGGAAGGGGGTGGTGTAGCATGACCTAGGGGTCCAGTCTAGTTCAGTCCAGTCTCTATCCTGTAGTTACAGGATGTGAGCAGATGGACTGGAATCATGTTTCCCACGTCCTGACTTCTCTCTCATCCTCCAACCCCCCTCCAACCCCCTTACACCCCCCTCCACCCCCCTCCAACCCCCCTCCATCCCCACCATCCTCTGAATCCTCAGCTCCCAGCATTCAGCTACCAGGGGGTGGGATGGAGGGGGGCACCAAGGGCATTCACAGGGTCCTAACGAGACAGAGGAGACAGAGAGGCATTTACTATAGTGTACTGTAAGGACACTATAGAAAGGAGGCGTCTTAAGGTGGTTAACATTGGGGGTGAGGGGGGGCTATCAGCCAGTTAACACTGGGGGTGATGGGGGCTATCAGCCAGTTAACACTGGGGGTGAGGGGGCTATCAGCCAGTTAACACTGGGGGTGAGGGAGGCTATCAGCCAGTTAACACTGGGGGTGAGGGGGGCTATCAGCCAGTTAACACTGGGGGTGAGGGGGCTATCAGCCAGTTAACACTGGGGGTGAGGGTGGCTATCAGCCAGTTAACACTGAGGGTGAGGGGGGCGAGGGGGGGGGGTCCACATGTTCCCCTGAGAGTGGGCGGGACGCTTCCACCGTGTCACTGAAACTCTAATAAACATTTCCTTGAGTCTGCCTCCTCCAAGAAAACAACAATTTTACACAAGACTTTGTCTCCAAAGTAACACAAGACTCTCTATAGTAACACAAGACTCTGTCTCTACAGTAACACAAGACTCTCTATAGTAACACAAGACTCTGTCTCTACAGTAACACAAGACTCTGTCTCCAAAGTAACACAAGACTCTGTCTCTACAGTAACACAAGACTCTGTCTCTACAGTAACACAAGACTCTGTCTCTACAGTAACACAAGACTCTGCCTCTACAGTAACACAAGACTCTGCCTCTACAGTAACACAAGACTCTGTCTCTACAGTAACACAAGACTCTGTCTCTACAGTAACACAATACTCTGTCTCTACAGTAACACAATACTCTGTCTCTACAGTAACACAAGACTCTGTCTCTACAGTAACACAAGTGTCTACAGTAACACAAGACTCTCTCTACAGTAACACAATACTCTGTCTCTACGGTAACAAGTCTCTGTCTCTACAGTAACACAAGACTCTGTCTCTACAGTAACACAAGACTCTGTCTCTACAGTAACACAAGACTCTGTCTCTACAGTAACACAAGACTCTGTCTTTACAGTAACACAATACTCTGTCTCTACAGTAACACAAGACTCTGCCTCTACAGTAACACAAGACTCTGTCTCTACAGTAACACAAGACTCTGCCTCTACAGTAACACAAGACTCTGTCTCTACAGTAACACAAGACTCTGCCTCTACAGTAACACAAGACTCTGCCTCTACAGTAACACAATACTCTGCCTCTACAGTAACACAATACTCTGCCTCTACAGTAACACAAGACTTTGTCTCTACAGTAACACAAGACTCTGTCTCTACAGTAACACAATACTCTGTCTCTACAGTAACAGAATACTCTTTCTCTACAGTAACACAATACTCTGTCTCTACAGTAACAGAATACTCTTTCTCTACAGTAACACAATACTCTGTCTCTACAGTAACATAAGTGTCTACAGTAACACAAGACTCTCTCTACAGTAACACAAGACTCTGTCTCTACGGTAACAAGTCTCTGTCTCTACAGTAACACAAGACTCTGTCTCTACAGTAACGCAAGACTGTCTCTACAGTAACACAAGACTGTCTCTATGGTAACAAGTCTCTGTCTCTACAGTAACACAAGACTCTGTCTTTACAGTAAGAAGACTCTCTCTCTACAGTAACACAATACTCACATTGACAGATTTTTCACCTAGTTGTTTTGTGATATTGCAGTAATAATATGCATCATGCGTATTGCCAATGTGGCCTCATTTGAGTCATTAATAGCCCCCATGTTGTTCTGTGTGGTTGTGGTGTTCATGATTTGCTCAGTAGTTGTGAATGTGTGCAGTGTTGCTTTTGTGTGACTGTAGTATGGTTGTGTTGAGTTCAGGATGTGGTCGTGGTTCTGAATAGCTCATGACATGGCTGGGTTGAGTTCATGATTGGTTGGTGGTTGAGTTCACAAAATGGTTGTGGTTGTGTTGAGTTTATGGTGTGGCTGTGGTTGTTGACCGGGTTTTCTCATCCCTAACCGGAAGTTGACAATATCCCAGAACCAGACATTTCATTTTGTGTGACATTGCTTTTATGAGACTGTTTTTACGGTTGTGGTTGTGGTCATGACCGTGTGTGTTCATGCCTCCAGTTCCCTGACCGTGAGTTGACCCCAGACCAGAGGAACATAGTGTGGAACAGCAGACAGGGCTTCCTCATCCGCAGTCCCACCTACTTCTACATCGGCCTGTTCTCCTGCAAGACCACTGTCAACGGGACCACACACTCCCTCAGTTACCTCACACACAGACAAGGTGAGCACACACACACACACATGCACACACATACACACAGACTCATTCTTACACGCACATGCACTTGCACGTGCACATGCACACACACACACACTCACACACACACACACACAGTCTTGCGCAGCTAACCTTGTGGGGACATACAATTCAGTCCCATTCAAAATCCTATTTTCCCTAACGCCTAAACCTAACCCTAACCCATACCCTTACCCTAACCCTAACCTTAATCCTAACCCTAACCCTAACCCTAACCCAAAAACCTAACCTTAACCCTAACCCTAAACCTAACCCTAGCTCCTAACAGTAACCATAAAACTAACCCTATCTCCTAACCCTAAACCTAATTCTAACCCCCTAGAAATAGCATTTGACCTTTTGGAGACCAACAAAATGTCCCCAGTTGGTCAAATGTATCTTGGTTTAAACATGTCCACACACACACACACACACACACACACACAGACACACACTTACCTGACACACACATAGACCAGGTGAGCACTACCAAGGCCAAGCACCTCAATTCTATATATTGCAGGTAATAAACGAGTGCTCTCCCCCCCCCCCCCCCCCCCCCCCCCCCCCCCACCACCACCTACCCCCCACCCTCCTCTCCAGTGAATAAGATCATGGATGTGTATCTGAACAGTACCAGTCCAGTCCAGGCTTTACAGGGGGAGAGTCTGGCCATCAACTGTACTGTCACTGCAGAGTGGAACAGCAGAGTGTCCATCAGCTGGGACTACCCCGGGCAGGTGAGAAACATATGAAGTACACTAGAATTATGAAGTACACTACAATGAAGTGCACTACGTTATGTAGTACTGTATGTAGAAGAACTTTAAAGTATACAGTGAGGGAAATAAGTATTTGATCCCCTGCTGATTTTGTACGTTTGCCCACTGACAAAGACATGATCAGTCTATCATTTTAATGGTAGGTTTATTTGAACAGTGAGAGACAGAATAACAACAAAAAAATCCAGAAAAACGCATGTCAAAAATGTTATAAATTGATTTGCAGTTTAATGAGGGAAATAAGTATTTGACCCCTCTGCAAAACATTACTTAGTACTTGGTGGCAAAACCCTTGTTGGCAATCACAGAGGTCAGACGTTTCTTGTAGTTGGCCACCAGGTTTGCACACATCTCAGGAGGGATTTTGTCCTACTCCTCTTTGCAGATCTTCTCCAAGTCATTAAGGTTTCGAGGCTGACGTTTGGCAACTCGAACCTTCAGCTCCCTCCACAGATTTTCTATGGGATTAAGGTCTGGAGACTGGCTAGGCCACTCCAGGACCTTAATGTGCTTCTTCTTGAGCCACTCCTTTGTTGCCTTGGCCGTGTGTTTTGGGTCATTGTCATGCTGGAATACCCATCCACGACCCATTTTCAATGCCCTGGCTGAGGGAAGGAGGTTCTCACCCAAGATTTGACGGTACATGGCCCCGTCCATCGTCCCTTTGATGCGGTGAAGTTGTCCTTTCCCCTTAGCAGAAAAACACCCCCAAAGCATAATGTTTCCACCTCCATGTTTGACGGTGGGGATGGTGTTCTTGGGGTCATAGGCAGCATTCCTCCTCCTCCAAACATGGCGAGTTGAGTTGATGCCAAAGAGCTCGATTTTGGTCTCATCTGACCACAACACTTTCACCCAGTTCTCCTCTGAATCATTCAGATGTTCATTGGCAAACTTCAGATGGCCCTGTATATGTGCTTTCTTGAGCAGGGGGACCTTGCGGGCGATGCAGGATTTCAGTCCTTCACGCGTAATGTGTTACCAATTGTTTTCTTGGTGACTATGGTCCCAGCTGCCTTGAGATCATTGACAAGATCCTCCCGTGTAGTTCTGGGCTGATTCCTCACCGTTCTCATGAACATTGCAACTCCACGAGGTGAGATCTTGCATGGCCGAGGGAGATTCACAGTTATTTTGTGTTTCTTCCATTTGCGAATAATCGCACCAACTGTTGTCACCTTCTCACCAAGCTGCTTGGCGATGGTCTTGTAGCCCATTCCAGCCTTGTGTAGGTCTACAATCTTGTCCCTGACATCCTTGGAGAGTTCTTTGGTCTTGGCCATGGTGGAGAGTTTGGAATCTGATTGAGTGATTGCTTCTGTGGACAGGTGTCTTTTATACAGGTAACAAGCTGAGATTAGGAGCACTCCCTTTAAGAGTGTGCTCCTAATCTCAGCTTGTTACCTGTATAAAAGACACCTGGGAGCCAGAAATCATTCTGATTGAGAGGGGGTCAAATACTTATTTCCCTCATTCAAATTCAAATCAATTTATAATATTTTTGACATGCGTTTTTCTGGATTTTTTGGTTGTTATTCTGTCTCTCACTGTTCAAATAAACCTACCATTAAAATGATAGACTGATCATTTCTTTGTCAGTGGGCAAACGTACAAAATCAGAAGGGGATCAAATACTTTTTTTCCCTCACTGTATATATATATTACTTAGTATATAACAACTTCAACATCTGCCTACCTGTTTGGAAGACTTTTACTATTTCAGAATAATATCTCTCCCTTTCTCTCCGTCTCTCCTACTCCCTCTCTCTCTCCCCTCAGGCAAACAGGGCAGCCATAATTAGTAGGCGGATCATGGCCAGTAAAACTCACATGGTATTCTACAGTATTCTGTCCATCCCTCAACTCCACCGCTCTGACAGAGGGCTCTATATCTGCCGAGTGACCAGTGGACCGGTCAGCCGAGAGACTAACGTATCTGTCACAGTCTACGGTGAGTCAAAATAGACTTAATACTTCCCACCTCCGACTACACCCACATCTGTGACAAATTCATTAATGAGCAAATTCATTGATGGTAAACACCGCTTTCTACCATGAGAAGATTAACCACAACCACCGTCTGTGTCACTCTCTGTAATATGTCAATAATGCATGATATTCTCTGTGTGTGTATGTGTGTGTGTATGCGTTTGTGTGTGTTCGTGCCTTTCTGTCTGTCTGTCTGTCTGCCTTTCTGTTTCTGTGTCTGTGTATCGTCCCAGACCGTCCGTTTATCCGTCTGACGCCCAGACAGGGGGCTGTAGTGGAGGCTCATGCAGGACAGAAGTCCTACCGACTCTCGCCCAAACTACGGGCCTTCCCTGCCCCAGTGATCATCTGGTAAGAACATACAGACTGTCAGCTAGCCTGCACACTATCTTACATCAGCCTACACTATCTGAGAGACAAATACAGCTACTGTATATGACATTGTATAATTCTTAATTTTATCGTTCTTTAAGTTAATTGAGGAATTCCCTGCATGTTTTTCTGTGTTAGGTTGAAGGATGGGAAGGTAGCAGCAGAGCAGTGTTCCCGTTACCATGTGGATGAGAATTCCCTAGTGATCCGGGATGTGGCGGAGGAGGATGCAGGGAAGTACACTATCCTGGTGGGAATCCAGGAGCACGGACTCTACCAGAACCTAACGCTCTCTCTGGTGGTCAACGGTGAGGACCAAGTCTTCCCTCCTCTCTTTACCCTCCATCGCTTTCTCTCTTTTTCATCTTTATACACCCTCTCTTTTGCTCTGTGCCCACTTTGTGTCTTCCCCCCATTATCCTGTTCCACATTGTCCCCTCTCTCTTCAAAATGGCACGTCAACGGAACTGTACTGTTCAGATAGGCTACTATTCCATTTAACCCATCTGAAATGTGGACACTGACTGAAGGTCTATAACCTCTCATATAGCCTAATATAATATGAACTTCTTCAGAATTAAGCATTTCTGTTGACTCGGGAAACAGGAGTGGATAAACATGATTTCTTTCTTTCAGCATCTTGAGAAAATGAATTCGCGGTTAGGGACCGTCTGTAAAGGTGGCGGTGCTATCTTTATCAGCATCATCAAAGCAAATTGTATTTCAACCACATAAAATATGCATCCAAGCCAAACTGAAATCTTATCAAAAATATGTTGGGTCGTTTTAACAGTTTTTAATTTCCTTAAAACCGTTTTTTTTGTGTGCATTTTATCCCCGGTCCCTAAACATCTTTGCTGCATGAGATAGAAAACAAATAGAAAACAAACTTTACTGATGTCCACTAGATTGAAGCATTCATTCTATTGATTTATTATGACATTATTCTTGTGAGCAATGGTTTATTTAGTATTCTAGGCTCTAGAGTTTAAGAACCCCTGTTCTAGGGCAACAATTAATGACAGAGAAGCTGCATATTTCGGAATTTAATAAGCTGAAACATAGGCCTATCTAAAAAAGGTTTGTCAAAAGTTCGTTCCTCCATCTCTGACTGTGGCCTACAGCGCAATTTTTATATTTGCGGGTTAGGGTCGGGTGTGGGCCTCAGATTTCCACTTTATCATATACACTGAGTATACAAAACATTATGAATGTCACTTGTTAAATCCACTTCAATCAGTGTAGATGAAGGGGAGGGGACAGGTTAAAGAATGATTTTTAATGGATTGTATTGTGTATGTGTGTCATTCAGATGGTGAATGGACAAGACAAAATATTTAAGTGCCTTTGAACGGGGTATGGTAGTAGGTGCCAGTCGCCACTGTTTGTGTCAAAAACTGCAATGCTGCTGGGCTTTTCAAGCTCAATAGTTTCCCGTGTGTATCAAGAATGGTCCACCAGCCAAAGGACATCCAGCCAACTTGACACAACTGCGGGAAGCACTGGAGTCAACATGGGCCAGCATCCCTGTGGAACGCTTTCGACACCTTGCAGAGTCCAGGCCCTGACGAATTGAGCTTGTTCTGAGGGAAAAGGGGGGGGGGGGTTGCAACTCAATATTAGGAAGGTGTTCTTAATGTTTTCTACACTCAGTGTATAGTCGGCTGGTTGCGGATGGGTTATTAGCAATTGCGGGTGGGTGAACAAACAACAGACCCATGCACCACTAGTCTGTGTCTCTGTCTGTTTTCCTCCAGTGAGTCCTGGGATAGAGGAGAAGGCAGTGTCATTGCAGGACCCAGGTAGTGTCCCGCGGGGCAGCAGACAAGCCCTGCACTGCACCTCCCACGGAGTCCCCCCTCCTCACATCGCCTGGCTCTGGCACCCCTGCACCCCCAAAGGCCTGTAAGTACACCTGGTGCTCACATTGTCACATGCCTTAGCACAGACACACATACACGTCTTCCAAAAGGTGTGTAAGTACTCCTTTACTCAAACACACATACAGTTCTGACACCCTTACCAATACATATTCAATTAACATACTTGCATACAGCATACTGTGTATCTATAATCATGTATACACGCACACCTTCGCTATGCCCACATAGTCTCCCAATACCGTGCACAGAACAAACCATGTCAACGTTTAAGTAATGTTCTTAAAACCTGGTAGGCATTACGTAAGTCATGTATTTTAGTCATATTGTTCCTAACTTAGAACTGGGACAGAAAGGTGTCTGTGACTATAAGATGAGGGCCTGTTTTAGGGTGTGAATGGGAGAATGTGTGTGAGTTTGTTTGTGAAGGGAGACATGTTTGGTCTATTTCAGCATGTGTTCAGACAGGGTTTCCTCTTTGCAACCAGAACAGATGCCTTTTGAAGCCTTTCATGTCTGTGAGTGTGTGTGTGTGTGTGTGTGTGTGTTTCGTCATGTCTTTGACTGAGTCTTTTACAATATGTTTCTGTCACTGTCTATATGTTAGCGTGTGTCCATGTCCGTGTGTGTGTGTTGTCTGTCCGTCCGTGTGTGTGTGTGCCTGGTACATTCACAGACAGTACAGTGTAACTCAGACTTAAAGAGCAGAATAGTAAAAGCCTTTAAATAGAGGCCTGTTCTGTGTTCTCAGTCACTTCAATAGAGGCCTGTTCTGTGTTCTCAGTCACATCAATAGAGGCCTGTTCTGTGTTCTCAGTCACTTCAATAGAGGCCTGTTCTGTGTTCTCAGTCACATCAATAGAGGCCTGTTCTGTGTTCTCAGTCACATCAATAGAGGCCTGTTCTGTGTTCTCAGTCACTTCAATAGAGGCCTGTTCTGTGTTCTCAGTTACTTCAATAGAGGCCTGTTCTGTGTTCTCGGTTACTTCAATAGAGGCCTGTTTTGTGTTCTCAGTCACTTCAATAGAGGCCTGTTCTGTGTTCTCAGTCACTTCAATAGAAGCCTGTTCTGTGTTCTCAGTCAAGATTAGTTGGTTTCTAAATCAAACGCTATGATTTAATGAACTTCCTGTCCAAAACGCAGGGTGAGATGTTTATTATTGTGATTGCACACTGCATTCTTTGATGCCTTTTCTAATATGACACACACACACACACACACACACTCAAACCGCTCTCATGAAACACACACTCATACACTGACACACACATTTTTTGAAAGGTCTTGTGAGAAACGGCCCTGCCCAACAATCAGCTATGATATTCCAACACACACACACACACTGATCTTACGATACACACATTTTCAAGTTCTCATGAGAAGTGGCCCTGCCCAACAATCAACTGTCATTGACACACACACACACACACACACACACATACACACTTGGCAAAAACATGACTTGGGTTGGTCTTGGAGGTCAGACACTATTGTGTTGGTTGTGTTCAGGTCAAAGAGGTTAACCGTTACCTGAACATCATGGCTTCCAGACCAAGCTACCGCCCATGTTATATTCCCCTACTGAGACACGCTGTGACATCATAGGTGCACTGTGTACTTGACCTTTCACACCAGCCTACACACACACACTACACACACTACGCCTACTTCCAATGCTTGTGGAAAGTCTTTATCACCACATCTCCACATTAAATTGCCATAACAACATCACATAACTTCACTGAACCAATGAGCAGTGACTCCTGCTCCTGCCTCAACATGGATGGCTTTACCTGGTAAAACTCTGGTAGAAATGACATTTTCAATTATTATGAATTGGCAAGCCAGCCAGGAGAAAGTGTAACACCTCACAGTCCAGAAAGGTCTAACAAGAAGATGCCTTCCGTGCACAGAGGAGCTGTGACAAGTCATGAATTATAGCCTATGTTGAGTCTTACATGCCTATTGATAGTCCCCGTTGGCCACTCTCACTACCTGCAAAGAGTGATCCATTTAAGTAGCTTTCATTACAAATGAGGTATTCAGACAGGTACAAGTGATTTGGGGTTCAGACTTGTGTTATGAGATTTATTTGAATGTGATTTCTTTGTTGTTTGTTTACACTGTAAAGCACTGAGAGCTCTAGCATTCTGTTCTGGTTCTAGAGTTCTAGAGTAATGATTTGGAATGTGAATAGATGATGATTCGTCCTGACCAGGCCCTTGTTATTTGTAGCTCTGGCGGAACACGGGCCTGACGCCGCGCCGGAGGAGGCCCAGGGACAGTGGGCCAGGCTGGGCCAGGCTGATAGGGACCTGGGTCCTCAGGGCAGGGTGTGGGTCTAGAGCCTGTGTCTGGCCCTGGATCCTTAGATGTGGGTCTGGGGCCTGGATCCACCCTTGAGGTCCTAGGTCTGGGTCCTTGGTGCTGGATGTGTCCCTGGGTCCAGTCGTGGATCCTTGGTCCTGTCCTGGGCCCTGGGAACCGCAGCGCTCTTATCTGGCCTGGGCAGGAGGCTCGCCGGGTTTCCTGTGCGAAAATCAGAGCGCTTTTCCTCTCCTTGTTTGGCTTCCTCCCCGACGCGAGACGCTTCCCAGCAGCGTGATTGTCCCTCCGTCTTCAAACGTGGCAGAATCCTGCTTCCTCAAGGGCTTGATCTATTCTTGAGACCCCCCCCCCCCCCCTCCTCATTCCCCCCTCCCCTGGTCTTCCCTCCCTCGCCAGCTCTGCCCCTCATCCCCAACCCCAACCCTTCAATCCACTTCATTAGAAGAATCCCCAACACCACCATCACCATCCCACACCTCCACCACACTCAGCAAGGCTGTTTCCAAGGCAGCCGGCGCCTTCAATGACAGACAGTACAGCCACCCTGCGACCCCACATTGGTGCTTTCTGGGATCTCGGGGTCGGAGGGCAGAGGGGGGGGGGGGGGCAGGACAGTGACCTGGTACACTGTTGAACAGTGAGGAAGATAGAGGAGAAGGATGAGGAAGAAGAGGAGTGAGAGGTCACACCACACTGAGGACAATGATCTGATCTGCTTTTAATGGTTATTATTATATTTATTTATTTCCCCTTACCCAGGTTGTATTTTACAACCCTTTTCTGGTTAGTTTTGTTTTTTTACATTGTTACTTTTCTCAGACATTTTGAGGCAGAAAGAAGTGCCCTTCCATCCATCCACTACGCCACGTTTTTCTGGAGCTGCTTCTGCTTCTTGTGTTCCTAGAGTGGTACTATAATGGGTACATGAGCCTGTCCCCAGCCCTGAGCCCTGCCATCCTGTTGTAGTTCTGACATCCACAAAAGCTGTGAGTTCTGACTGTAAATCATATACGTTATAAGTAAGTAGCTACACATCTCAGATGGGCGAGCAGGAGAGAGAGAGAAAGAGAGAGAGGGAGGAGGTATGCTATGGGATGCCCTACAGTTCTCTATTATTGTAAGATACTCTGGGACTGCTCATCAAACACCTACCATGTAGGAGTTCCCCAGGACCCAGAGACAATGACAGTCATATGTCATCTTATGTCATGTTATGTCATTTGTAAGGCGTTTCACTGTATATCAACCATTTGTCATCCAGAGTGAATTTATGTATTATACTAAAATGTATTGTGTGGAAAATAGTTTGTCTTTGTGTGTGATATATATGAAGACTTTATTTCCAAAATGCTATATATCAATTTTCAGAAATGTTGGTAAATTAGCTTTTATTGTTTAAAGAACTTATGGTGTGTTTTTCACTATCTAATCATGGCATGGGGTTGTTCAATGAGAGACATGTATTTGTTTAAAATCTATCACTTGATGGGTTTTTTTTTGTTGTTGTTGCAAAACACTATATATCCGCCTCACTCTCAGAGAAACAAGTAGTCCTGCTAGGTGTTACACAGTCAAATGTAACAAATAACTACATTTTGAATAAAGAACTGTTCAAATGATACATTTATGACATCAATATTGAAAAACATTTGTATAAATATAATTAAATACAGTAATATGAGATCTGTATGTAAAACCTTTGACATTTTAGTCATTTAGCAGATGCTCTTATCCAGAGCGACTCACAGTTAGTGCATTCATCTTAAGATAGCTAGGTGGGACAACCACATATCACAGGCAACTATAGAGGATACGGACATTCCATTCCAGCTAAACAATGGATATATAGCGTTTTGCAAAAAAAATAAAAAATCACATCTAAAATCTGAAAACAGTAATATTTTACACACACAGGTACCCATAAGCAATCATTTCTGATGAAAAAGCACAAATGTGAAAAATTGGTGGATATAGTGTTTTGTAAATAAACTCTTCATGTGCACAGGAAGCTGTTTTTATGGTTTGTTTGAGTGTCATAGTTGTGCATGTAGAGTTCCAAAAGGGTTCTTTGGCTGTCCCATAGGATAACCCTTTTTGGTTCCATGTAGAACCCTTTTTTGTTCCATGTAGAACCCTTTTGGGTTTAATGTAAAAAAAACTCTTTGGAAAGGGTTCTACATGGAACCCAAAAGGGTCTACCTGGAACCAAAAGGGTACTACCTGAAACGAAAGGGGTTCTTCAAAGGGTTCTCCTATAGGGACAGCCAAAGAACCCTTTTAGGTTCCATATCTTTCTAAGAATGTAGTGTATGTTTGTATGTGTGAATATGTGTTTACGTGTGTGTGATGGTGCATGTGTGCGTGCGTGTGCGTGTGTGCGTGCGTGAGAGCGTGAGAGCGTGAGAGCGTGAGAGCGAGAGAGTGAGAGAGTGAGTGAGTGCGAGCGAAACTTCCACACTGAGGTGAATCATTCTACGGGTCTCTCCCTTTGTGATTCATTCCATGTATACAGATTTTCTATGAGTAATATATGAATCTAATATTTAATAATTTTATATGACTAACTTACTTATGATAATTGCCAAAAATGGCCAAATTTGTATGAAAACTATTAATATGTATTGTTTTAAATGTTATATTAAATGTATGTTTTTTACATTAAATGTTGCTTTATATTGTGTGTTGCTTCCTACTTTTCGACTTTTCATGGATTTTAGCTAGTAACTTATTTAGCAGTTTCTCTAAATGAAATACTGAGACAACATCATAGACAGGCCAACAGTCAGTCATCTCACCCTGGGCAGGCACACTGTGTGAATGTATGTGTGTGTGTGTGTGTGTGTGTGTGTGTGTGTGTTCGTGCGTGCGTGCTTGCATGGGTGCGTGCAAGCGTGTGTGCACGTATGTGCATGTGTTTCCTGGGAGGCGTGGGAGAGTCGCCTGGCTGATGGTGTGTGTGTGTGTGTAAGTGTGAGTGTGTGTCAGGGCCCTTGGTGTCATGCACAGGGTGGGTAGCCCCTACAGGACACGGGCACTCGCTATCTCTACCAAGAGGAAGAGCAATCAGAAAGAGAGAGGGCTGAGAGGAGGATGGGAGAGATGAGAGGAGCCAACCAGGGAGGGACAAGGGATAGCCTGAGAACAGAGAGAGAGAGAGAGAGAGAGGGAGAGAGAGAAGAGGGGTTGGCACTGGCCATGGGATAGAATCAGTTTGTGATCATTTGAGATTCTGAAAGGTGTTGAAATATAAAAAATACAATATCCCAAATGATCTACTTCAAGGCGGCACAATGTAATTCAAAAGCAGGCAGAGAGATATACTGTATATATATATTTTTAGATGGATGTAGAAAGGTAACGGTGTAGCCAGGAGTTTTTCATGACCTGGGAAACCCCCAGTGGTAATCCTCTTGGAATGTTTAAGAATAGGATGGACAATTAATGAATGGTGGGATGATTTTAAGAATGGAGGGAAATGAGTTGACAGTACCACCTCCATCCTACAGTACAGAGATGAACGATGTCGGCTGAGATTACATGCTGCTACAGACATGGACACCATTGACAAGACTCCATCGGGAAAGCAGTTGAGCAGTGAACAAGGGATGATGATGACGATGATGATGGTAGTAATGATGATGTCATAATAAGGATGATGATGACGACGATGGCCATGATAAAGATGAAGATAGCGATCACAATAGTGATGATGAGTTCCGGTCTTCCTCCTGTGGTGCACAGCTGTGGAACACACACATACTCACACACACACCTGCCGTCTGGCTAGCCGTGACTTCACTGTGTCAACACAGCTGAGCTGAGACCTGTCCATCTCTTCCTCCTCCAAGGTGCGTGCGTCCTCCATCCTCCTCACTGTGGAGCCCCCAGCACGTCCACACACAACCACATCATACACACAGACAGGAAGTGCTCCAGGGGAAGAATAAGGTGAGCGCACCACCGGTGGAGCGGGCAGGCTGAGACACAGAGGGAGGGACAGTGATGGATTATAAACACATTCCCCTGAGAAACACGTATCACACTGACACAGCCATGATGGATTAGACACGCACACAAACAGATACATGGTACCATCATATATCAATAACCATTTAAATTAGGGTTGCAAAATTCCAGTAACTTTCCAATCATTCCCCGGTTTTTCAGAAATCTCCACGTGAAGATTACTGGAATTCTGAAAGAATAGGCAGAAAATCACGGAGTCCTCCAACCGGGAATTCTGGAACACCGGGGAATTTTGGAAAATTTACAGAAGTTTTGCAATCCTACATTTAATCAAACACTTACACACACACACTACAGCTAACATATACACAAAGATGCTAGAACTCATTAATCTTTCTCTCACACACACAAACACACTACAGCTTGTGAGAATTAGTCGGCAAGTGGGTAACCCGCCTCTACCATCCATTCTATTGGCCAACATGCAATCACTGGAGAATAAACTGGATGAGCTCCGTTCGAGACTATCCTACCAACGGGACATTAAAAACGGTAATATCTTATGTTTCACCGATTCGTGGCTGAACGACGACATGGATAATATACAGTTGGCTGGGTTTTCCGTGCATCGGCAAGACAGAACAGCTACCTCCGGTAAGACAAGGGCTGGTGGTGTGTGTATTTGTCAATAACAACTGGTGCGCAATGTCTAATATCAAGGAAGTCTCGAGGTATTGCTTGCCTGAGGTAGAGTACCTCATGATAAGCTGTAGACCACACTACCTACCAAGAGAATTTTCATCTATATTTTTCGTAGCTGTCTATTTACCACCACAAACTGATGCTGGCACTAAGACTGCACTCAACGAGCTGTATAAGGCCATAAGCAAACATGAAAATGCTCATCCAGAAGCGGCGCTCCTAGTGGCCACGGACTTTTATGCAGGCAAACTTGCGGATAAAATCAGTTTTATCTAATTTCTTCCAGCATGTCACATGTGCAACCAGAGGGAAAAAAAACTCTAGACCACCTTTACTCCACACACAGAGATGCGTTGAAATTTGGCAAATCTGACCCTTGTTCCTGCTTACAAGCAAAAACTAAAGCAGGAAGTACCAGTGACTTGCTCAATACAGAAGTGGTAAGATGATGCGGATGCTACGCTACAGGACTGTTTTGCTAGCCCAGACTGGAATATGTTCCGGGATTCATCTAATGGCATTGAGGAGTATACCACCTCAGGCACCGGCTTCATCAATAAGTGCATCGACAACGTCATCCCAACAGTGACTGTATGTACATATCCCAACCAGAAGCCATGGATTACAGGCAACATCCACACCAAGCTAAAGGCTAGAGCTGCCGCTTTCAAGGAGCGGTACACTAATCCGGACGCTTATAAGAAATCCCACTATGCCCTCTGATGCATCATCAAACAGGCAAAGCGTCAATACAGGACTAAGATTGAATCCTACTACACCGACTCTGACACTCATTGGATGTGGCAGGGCTTGCAAACTATTGTGGACTACAAAGGGAAACCCAGCCGGGAGCTGCTCAGTGACGTGAGCCTACCAGACGGGCTAAATGCCTTTTATGGTCGCTTCGAGGCAAGCAACACTGAAGCATGCATGAGAACACCAGCTGTTCCGGACAAATGTGTGATCACACTCTCCGTAGCCGGTGTGAGCAAGACCTTAAAACAGGTCAACATTCCCACCTGGACAAAAGGAACACCTAGGTGAGAATGCTGTTAATTGACTATAGCTCAGCATTCAACACCATAGTGCCCACAAAGCTCATCACTAAGCTAAGGACCCTGTGACTAAACACCTCCCTCTGCAACTGAATCCTGGACTTCCTGACGGGCCACCCCCAGGTGGTAAGAGTAGGCAACAACACATCCCCTCAGGGGTGCGTGCTTAGTCCCCTCCTGTACTCCCTGTTCACCCATGACTGCGTGGCCAAGCACCACTCCAACACCATCATTAAGTTTGCTGACAACACAACGGTGGTAGGCCTGATCACTGACAACGATGAGACAGCCTATAGGGAGGAGGTCAGAGACCTGACAGTGTGGTGCCAGGACAACAACCTCTCCCTCAACGTGAGCAAGACAAAGGAGCTGATCGTGAACTACAGGAAAAGGAGGCGCGAAAAATAGCCCCCATTCACATTGACGGGGCTATAGTGGAGCGGGTCGAGAGCTTCAAGTTCCTTGGTGTCCACATCACCAACAAACTATCATGGTCCAAACACACCAAGACAAGATGTTCTTCTTTGTTTTTATGTTTTATTATCTCGCTGTCATACTGTGGTCAACCGGGTTCGATCTTGCCTAGCCATCTTGTTTCAAGAGGACCACAATGGAAATAAGTCCCAGACTTTATTATGTGTTATCCTTCATGATTTTACTCATGTGCATGTATGGCTTTTTCAAGTTTTATGTGTGATTGTATGGCATGGGTCCCCAGATCCTCAAAACGTTCTACAGCTGCACCATCGAGAGTATCCTGATCAGTTGCATCACCGCCTGGTATGGCAACTGCTCGGCAGCCGACCGTAAGGCGCTACAGAGGGTAGCCAAGCATCACTGGGGCCAAGCTTCCTGCTTTCCAGGACCTCTATACTAGGCAGTGTCAGAGGAAGGCCCAAAGAATTGTCAAAGACTCCAGTCACCCAGGTCATAGACTGTTCTCTCTGCTACCGCACGGCAAGCGGTACCGGAGCGCCAAGTCTAGGTCCAAAAGGCTCCTTAACAGCTTCTACCCCAAGCCATTAGACTGCTGAACAATTAATCAAATGGCCACCCGGACTATTTGCGTTGACCCTACCCCCCTTTCTTTTTACACTGCTGCTACTCACTGTTTATTATCTACGCATAGTCACTTTACCCCTACCTACATGTACATATTACATCAATTACC